TTCAAGGCAGAACTAACTTCAGGAGGAGGTCTGTGTTCAGGAGGCAGCCTGGGCACGTCTCTGGAGACAAGTGCAGCTGCAATGAAGCTGTCCTTACCAGCCTGGCCCACCAGCGCTGCTCTGTAACATCCCAGCTCTGAGGAGCTCTGCTCTCCGTACACGCACAGAACTGTGCTTTGGTCTTAGTAGTCAGCAAGAACTCAAGATTTGCAAGCAACTTGGCACTTGCAAGTAAATTTCCCACGTGTTTGGCAGGTGGCTGGGGCCAGCGCCCAGGCAGTGGTGGTGGAGAGCATTGGCGAGCCTGAAGCTCTGGTCTGTGCTGACCAGGATCACTGCTCTGGCTGGTGGCAGTGTGCCATTGCCTGCTCCAGGAGAGGTCCCTGGGGACCCTCGCTGCTGCCGGAGGCACCCCAGCTGCTGCAGAGGTTGCAGCAGCCATTTGCTCCCTGCAGACCTTTGGGCCCGTATCTTTGCTGAGACAGCAGGAAACACCGCTGCGAGGATCCAGTCCAGCACCAGCAGCACGATACGGCCCTGCACCCAAAAACCCTCCATCCCCAGCACCCTGCCCCAGAGGTGCCAGCGCAGCTGTGGGTGCCCTGCACAGGGAACCACCTGCATGTGCCGACACCGTAACTCAGCCAAAAAGGCTCGAGATTGGTTGCTGGGGAGACCCTGGTGCTTTCGGTTACCTTGGCACGTGCTTTCCTCCTGCTCTCCCACCTGCTGCCCGCCGCATCGCTCCTAAGGTAGATGCATACAAGTCAGGCAGTTTGAATTACTTTCCGCTGCCCTTGTACCTGCTTTGCATTCTCCCGTAATCTCCCGGGCTGTCAATCTCGTACCGTCGCGGGCTCTCAATTCCCAGGGAAGCTAAACACAGATATATTGCACAAAGAGATCCGTGGGCTGGCGCTAAAAATGGAATACACCTTAACTCCGAGTGCTGCAGACGGCCTAGCAAATACTGGGTGTGAATTATGATACTGTAATTCAAGCTTTGTCAAACAGTGGGGCTTAATTAGAATATATATATAATTGTAAAAACTAAAAAGCTGACGAGTACAATTGTGCGTTTGAGCTGCCTGCTACAGAAAATAATGAGGAGAGAATACATTAAGGCACGAAACCCTTCTACCTTCAAAGAGCAGCTAGCTCTGATTAAAAATACTCCTGGCAAGGCGAGGGTCCTCAGCGAGAGGCAGGGAACCTGCAGCACTGGCTTGGCCATAACTCTCACTTCTGTTTTACAGCCTCCATCCAGCGCAGCTGCAGCCTTGGGGTCCCCCCACCTCCGCGTTCTGGTGTTGAGGGACCACAAGATGTCCCAGCTCGGTTTCTTTTTATTGTCATATTAAAGAAAAATATGGAAAACGTGTCTTGTTTGCCTGTTTTCCCCCCTGCCATAGACCTGCAGTCCCACGGATTCTCCAGCGCCATGCAGCGCCGGTACGCAACCGCTCCTCGGCCGGCTGGCGCACAGGGCTGGCTTTGCCTCCCAGCTGCCCCTGGGGATGTGCATTTGCTCCCAGCAGCCAGGGACAAGAGTCCTGCCAAGGACCCAGTGCAAGGGTGGGGAAAAAAAAACCCAAAACTAGTCTGGTCATCAACCCCGGCGAAGATCCCGTACTGCTCCCTGACACCGAGCAACCAGCAGAGGATGGTTTTGTGTATCAGTGGTTTTACAGTCCTGTAACAGGTTGCAGGCAGCGTGGGTACATCCTACAGGGGAAGTGAAACGTCAGGGTGTGCAGGACCTCGACTGCTGAGCATGCATTACAGACAAAGACAAAACTAGTCTGGTCATCAACCCTGGCGAAGACCCCGTACTGCTCCCTGACACCGAGCAACCAGCAGAGGATGGTTTTGTGTATCAGTGGTTTTACAGTCCTGTAACAGGTTGCAGGCAGCGTGGGTACATCCTACAGGGGAAGTGAAACGTCAGGGTGTGCAGGACCTCGACTGCTGAGCATGCATTACAGACAAAGACCTCAGCAGCGTGCTGCTTGTGGGCTATGGTACATAGGAACGTGCCCCAGCTTCTCCCGGAGAGTATAAACCCTTAATGTAAAGATACTCTGTGCTGTGCTTGGGTTCCCATCAGAGAATGGGCTTTGGGAGCCCGGGAGACCCACTGCTCCACCGACAGCGAAGCGGGACCAGGGCCCCAGGAGCAAAGGGATTTGCATGAGACAGTGCAGGGAGCAGCATCACTGCCTCCCGAAAAACTGTGTTTGCAAGGCAAACACGCATACCGAGTGCTGGTTGGGTTCTAAGCGTCTGGCTGTGAAGTGCCGGGTTTGTTACCGCTTAGTGACTGAATAAAAGAATGAGGAGAAGAGCGTTCAGCTCTTATCTGTCGGAGTGAGCAGGCAAGTTTGCGTGCCTTTGACGGCACTGCTCGGTTATTGATCCATAAAAGGTGTAATACGTCTCTATAACACCCTTTGCATGAAATAAAGATGTTGTCAGCTTCAGTTAACTGGCAATCTGTTATTAGTCCTTGCCAATGCCTAGGGGATTCCTGGGTTTAAATTGCCCTGGAGAAGGATCTCGGTTTGCTCTGGGCAGCAGTGGGAAAGCCCTGGGAAACGGGCTGTGCCAAGCGCCGCAGCTCCTACAGAAGGTTTTACCGGGTGATTCAGTGCTTCACCACTTTTCCTAACCTTCACACGGGCTGCGTGCACGCCTCTCCCTGGTGGGGGGTATTCCCCCAGGATGGCTGCAGCCCAGGACACGTTAGCGGTTGCTGTTTTATATCAGCCCCGTGAGGATGGAGGGCCCTGAGCACCTTTCACCCTCCCCCGGACCCGCTGGTGTGCCAGCTGGCTCTTTGGAGGCTGATTTTGGAAGTGGCACCCTCCCCTCGTCCTGTGGTGAGAGATGCCAAGGGGAGCTGTCACCAAATGTGGGGAGGTGTAAGTGGCTGGCAGGTCCAGTGAGCCCCCCAAAGCCAGGCGGGGGGGAGTCCATTTTTTGGGGCACTCTCATTCCCTGCAGGGCCCGTGGCCCCGCCGGGGGGGGCATCTCCGTGCAGGCCCAGGAACCCCGTAGCCCTTCAGCAGAAGAGCGGGTCAGCTGCACGCACCCCCAGGGCTGCCCGCTCCCCCCTCACTCCGTATTTGGGCTCCTGTGTCAAGGTGAAGCACGGGGAGGATGCGCTAACAGCAGGGCTCGGCGTGCAGCAAATCAGCGCCCTTAACATTTACTTAATCACAGAGAGCAGAGGGAGCGGGGGGAGAGGGAAGGGACGGCTCCTAGCATACCAATGCGAGTCTTGGTGCTGCCACCATATCCCTCCTGCCCGCTCGCCTTGCCCGACACAGAGACGGGGAACCGAAATGAAACATGGCAATGACGCGTTTCCCCCGGCCGGGTTTGTAGCACTTCTCATCCCGCCAGAGACGCGCCGCGGTTTTCCCCTTCCACCTTTTTTTAAACACAGTTTAAAATAGAAAGACAAGAATGAAGGAGCCCCAACGGTTCCTGAAAAATCCAGTACAGGCTGGGGAAAAAGCCATGCTGGGAAAGCCATGCTGCATGAAATTGCTGGAGTAGCAAGCTTGGGACAGTCGGCCACAGCAGTAATGAGCTTGTGGGGTCTCAGCAGGGACATGCTGGTGGTTCGGCAGCACCTGTGCAAGTGCTGGAGCTGGGCAGGTGTTTTTTCGGCGCTGTGGATGGTCTTGCATGGTCCTTACTTAGCTCCTTTGCACTGACAGACCACTTGATAACCCTGCGGCTTCATCTGGGCTGTCAGAGCATGAGAGCATCACCTGTCTCACGGTGCCAGTATTTTGCCAGCAATAAGGCCCAAGGGGCAAATATTTTGGGAAGGGAGTGGAGGGGCGTGCGGGGAGGCTGAAGGTGCCAAGCACAGCCCTGCCACGCTGCTGTGCTGAGCAAGGGGCTCGTCTGCATGCCTCGCTCTGTGGATTTCACATGGTGGTAACTGGGCTCCACCTGCAATGGGGCATTGCCCGCTGCCGGCCGTTCCTCTGGGCTCACAGGGGAAGCGTTGGCATCCTTCATCTCAATGAGAAATGCAGCCGTGAGCTGGGACGTGTATTACTTACACACACACCCCCAGCCGTAGCTTAACGCTGAGCGCTTTGCCAGGGGAGAGAAGCCCATAGCAACTTTCCAGCCGTAGACCCTGCATTTAAATCACCCTCAGGTTTGCTGAGTGTACATTTAAATAGACGGCAAATGAAATGAGATGTGATGTGTGAGTAAGTGAAACCGGAGCTGGAGGTGTTGCAGTACTTAGTGACCACTCTCGGTAGAAGTTTTTCACCGAAATGCTGATACCTGCTTTCTGATGGACTGGTGCCTTCCCGTTGTTATTGTCCTTGTCAGTAAAGCTTTAAATTTATTCATGAAGCACGCTGGAGCTCAGGTGGCAATAGCTAAATCCATTTAGCAGTAGGAATAAGAGGAAAGCCATTTTAATGTTCTCTTGCAGTGCTGCAGTACTTAGCAAACCCAAAGGATATTAATTACTCAGCATGCTCTGAGATGTAAAAGCATGAATTTATCAAGACAAATACATTCAGAACTAGGGTAAGTCAACAGTAATTAACGCAATGCAAAAAAAGATGGAGAAAGGAAGGATTAGCTGGCCCTATCACAGAAGAACACGGCATAGCGCCGAGTTATCCCCGGGATATTATAAAGTGGCTGGAGTTGTGGTGAGGCATCACTAACAAAAAAATCTGCCTGTGCCTGTCAGGGGTATCCCTGGGATGGGGGTTTGGTCCTGGTTTGCATTACCAAGGCAGAATGGTGCAGGCGGTCTCTGAAATGCTAAGTTGTGCTTGGCAGCCAGCAGCAGCATTTTCATACGAAGCCTTTGATGTTGGAAGGCGCTTGTGAAGAAGAGGTGCATAGGGCTTTTTTGTTTTTCACCGAATTTGTCTGCGCTGTCCCAATGTTTTCATGGTGTTTAGCAAACATGTAATCGTGAGCACAGCCACAGATGAGTGGCAGCTCAAGAGATGAATTGGTAGGCTCCCCTTGACAAATTTAAGCATAGCATCCATTAGGGCAGACAAGTGGAAAATCCAGAGATGACTGCTCTGCAATTTAACAGTCACAGCATTTGGAGAAAGCTGATGTCTTCCTCATCACTGATGATGGGTCAGGTTCAGAAAAAAGCAGAAAGCCCTCTAAAAACTAAAGCAATTTGAGCAAACGAGTCTAGCCGCACTGTATTTAAAGGCAGTTTACTTTGTGCGGAGCAAGTACAACCAGTGCTGATTCTTTGTCTCCAGGTCATGGCGACAACCCAGATGACTTCAGCCTAGAAGATGCCCTGTATGACCTCAGCACCAAGCGACGTAAGTCACATTTATTTATTCTTTTAAAGAGGAGAAAACAAATAGATGTCAATAGATGCAATTTGTTCTTTGGGATCTGATGCCGGTGGGAGGGTGGTGGAGGATACGGGCTACCTCATCGTCTGCCCGGGGAGATGCAGTGTCCAGGCTTGCCAACAGGTGGGACTGGAGATAGTCCTGGAGAAGCTGGTTGCTGACCTTGTGCCCTTCGCTTTCTGATTCCCGTGAGCAAACCGCAGAGGCACACCAGTGCTTTGATGTAGCGACAGCACTGACCACATCTTTTTGGCTTCCTTGCCTGCGTTAGTAACACCTACCATCAAACATGCCCCTGTTTGCCTGGAAGATAATGCATTAACTGCCGGTGAGGGCAACCTGCTGAGCCCGGCCGGGCAGGGGCAGCGCCGGGTCCTTCCCTGGTCCCTCTGCAACACGGTGCTTGAGGAAAGCAAACGGCATGTTGGGTTGTTGCTTTGCTTCGCTTAATTTCAAGTGTAACCCGTCAGTTAAAAGAAACTCATTTCTGAAAGGGGTGCCTTGCTGCTGGCATGCTGATATTTAATATTTGGCTTTGAACTCTATAAGTTTTATGTAAGCTGGGGCTGGGCTGTGTCACTGAGGGGACAGCGGTGCCTGGCAGAGCTCAGCCTCAGGCCTGGCAGAAACAGCGGCAAGGTCAGGGGGCTGGTGAGGGGTTTGCACCACCCTGGGTGGAGGAAATTCAGTGGAGCAGCTCTCATTTTACACCCAAAAGAGATAACCTAACCACCAGCACAGTAGCTGATGGGAGGAGACTCGTCTCCCTTCCAGGGGCACGTCGCACGCCTCCACCCAGCGCCGAGGGCTGAGCCCAAGCCAGGTCTGCACCTGGACACGTTGGCAGCTCCCCTTCACTGTTCGGCCATGGAGGCGCAGCAGCGGAGTTGCAAATGCCAGCGCCCAGGACCCCTCGCTGCCCGTCCCTTCCCATGTGGTTCCTGGTGACCGTCCCCAGACGCAGCGCCCGGCCGGGCGGTAGCAGGGAGCGCTCTGCGAGCGATGCCAGCCCCTGTGATCACACAAAATACACCTACAAGTATAAGTGAAAGCTGTAACAGGCTTCAAAACCTCTTACTTTATATTCTAACAACACACAGACACTTGGTCTGTGTTACGTTGGAGTTTATGTGGAATAAAGAGTCAGGATGCTCCGTGCATCTCTCCTGCAGCGTGCCGGGTTCAGCAGGAGGGGGATAGGATAGACTATGTGGTATCAGACTTGGTCATGGGTCTCAGGGATCTCATCTAGGATTTTGCAAGCCCTTTAATACAGTATGTGGAGACACCTGGTTAGAAACGCCTAATGGCCATCTCATGCAGAGGGAAAGCAGCGTTTCCCCAGGCTGGAGTCCCAGCTGCGAGGGGGGGAAGAGGCAGTGCTGTCCCCACAGCCTCCCCTGGCTGCTGCATCCCGCTCTGGACTTCATCACATCAGCCCCGGAATAAAAGCAAACAAAGGGTCTGGAGTCGGGTCACATCAAACCGTACTGGCACACTGGAAATGAAGCCCAGCAGAAGCACTCCAGTATTCAGAAGCGCAAATGGAAATTAATGGGAATAGAGCAGCACAACTCTTGCTCATAATTTATTCATATACTTGGTAATGCTAGCCACTATTAATAGATAGTGGTTTACAGGGGGTGAAAAAAATAACCCCCCCCTGAAGGCTGACTGTAGCTTGTTTTAGCCCAGGAGCGGCCAGGGGAGCTGGGATCTGAGCATCGGGGTGTCACCAAAATTCCTCCAGCTGACAGGGAACCTCCCGTACATAATGCAGCACTGGAAATTATCTGTCATTTAACTAACCGACCGGGCAGGGGACAACAAAACATTGGCAGCATACTCTTGTTTTCCACGCTGTTCTGTACAGTATCTGTCCTTGCTCTGTTTCTTGCCGTCTCCGGGAGTCTTAATTCGGAGCAGTTTATTACAGCTCTCTGCTTTTCACTTGGCGGGATGCTGGCCTGCACCGGGGCAGCGTTCAGCCCCAGACACAGCTGTGCCCTGCAGAGCTCTGGGCTCAATCCTGCACGGGGCTGCAGCCACTCGCCCTCACACACAGGCAGTCCCGCTCCCTGTGGCCATGCGCCGTGTGCGTGGGGGTTTCGTGGCTCTGGGCTACGAGGTTACAAGTACAAACCAACGACGGTCAGCTGGAAAGCTCGTGGTGAAATCTTTGCCATTTATTCTCAAACCAGAAGTGACACATTTTCGGTGATGCCCATGACTAACATTTTCTTCCCTGTCTGTTTTGTCACAGCCACTCCCAAGGGCCCCAGAAAGCCGGCAGGTGGGACAGGTGAGACCTCCTTGCGTGCATATCATTTAAGCACAGGGCGGGGTTTGCTTCCCATGGGGGTTTGAACCGTGCGAGTCCCCCCGTGGGCTGCACGTGTGCGGCTGGGTGCTGCTGCCTTAGCGGAGGCTTTGGGATGCCTTGGCTTGCCCGTAAGAAAGCTGGTGCCAGTGTGCATATGTGTGCTCCTCCCGTACGGCCGAAGTAAATGCAATATTGATATTTCTGTCCATGCTGAAGGCGAGTGACAGTGGAGCATTTGTGGCCAAGGCTGAATTTCACACACTTTCCAGTATCCTAATGGATAAGACACAAATCACTGCTCAGCCACACAAGGGCTTTTGTTTCTGGCTGCATAGCACCTACTAGCTTTCCTTCCAGGAGGGATCCCAGAGGATATATTCCTTCCTTTTTTTACTCCAAGATATCCCTGACCTTCACGGAAAGGCCCAGCCTGGTGACATTTCCCCATCCAGGGAAAAATGTCTCTCTGACTGTTTGCACCTGTCAGATGTGCTGGCTGGCTGGCTCTACAACATCTGCCCTGGTTGAGGAAGCTCCCTTAAATTCACCCGAGTTTCATCGCCAGCAGCTTCTCTGGCCAAAAATACCTACTTAAATATAGTGCGGTCACAAGAGCTGAGGGTTGCTCAACCCCGCCAGAGGAGCCTGAAATAAACAGTGGGGGAGCGCTCAGAAGTGAACCTGCTTGCCCCTGCATGAGGATCTTGGCACAAATTTAAGCAAATCCAACTGTCCAGCTCCTTGGCCACCATGGTCTTTGCTAGGAACAAGAAAAGCCAAGTGCCAAAAGCACGCGCAGGGCTTTGTCATTTGGATCGCAGCCCAAATGAGAGGCAGTTTGATCCAATAAACTCTCCCTGGGAAATGGATGCATGCCGAGGCCAAGGCTTCGTCTCAGCAAGTTTCTTCTTCCCCAGGGAGTGCTCTTTGGATGAGTGATGGCACCAGGGGCCTCCTGCGGCGGGTTCCTGTGCCCTGGCCCCATCTCCCATGCATGCTCCTCTCAGCCCAGGGTCACTCGTGGGCAGCTGTGCAGGGAGCAGAGCAGGTCCCAGCCACCGGATCAATCCCCGCAGCACCTTCTCATCTGCAGCCTCTGCCTCAGGAGATGCCGCAGGACACCGGCAGGTCTCCCCCCAAAACACATTATTTTGGGGTCACTCGGGCAGGGGGTGGGCAGCAAGCCACAGCTTGGATGGGGAGAGTTAAACGATGGCCAGGCTGATCTGAAGGCTCTGCAGTACGGTTGCGATTGAGTAGCAGAGCAGCTGGACGCCCTTTTCAGCTCCACGCTGACTCGGGTGCTGGTGGCCTCTGGCAATGGTGCAACGTCACTTGCACAGCACCCACAGAGCTGCGGCGCGGGGGATGCGTGCCGAAAGCCTCGCACCGTCCCCACAAACGATGGGGGTTTTAACGATCCCTTCTCTCCTGCGCGCAGGGGATGCGTGCCGAAAGCCTTGCACCGTCCCCACAAACAATGGGGGTTTTAACGATCCCTTCTCTCCTGCAACAGGCTTTGATTTGGCTGATTACTTTGACACCCCTCTGGAGACTACCACCAAACCAGCCAAGCCGACTCCGAAGCCCTTCCCTAGGCCAGGGAAGCCAGGTAGTGCGGAGCTCCCCCACACCTCGGGGAGGGTACACGTGTGCTCACCTTCAGGGCTCCAGATGGGGGAAAACGCTCCCTGAGGTAACCGGGAGCCATGCCCGCAGCCAGGAGGCTGAGATCAGGCGTTGACAGATGAGGTCTGGCAAGTTTTGGTGACCACCAACCGGTGACTTTAAAAGGTGACCACCTCCTCCTTCCCTGCTGTCATAGTGGAGCCGGCAGAGGAGATGCTCCAGGCTCTTGCTGACATGCCAGGAGGGTCAGCACCAGCATTTCACCACCCTCCCTCCCTTGCTGCCCACGTGCCCCCTGCATGAGCCGTATCGGGGGCTTCGCCAAGCGGCATTTGTAAAAGGTTTTAACTAGGATGGAGCTGTTCGCTGCTATTAGGTGGGAGATTTCATCGCCAAAGTCGCACATCCTTTATGTGTATCGTTTTGGCAGCGCCTGGTCCTGCTCCTGCTCCTGTGTGCTGTGGGTAGCTGGCGGGGGTGGCGCGGGGCTGCCCTCACAGTGGCAGAGTGCCCGTGAGCGGACGGTGGCGTGCGTCCCACCGGCAGCATGTTTGGGAGGGATTTTCCGAGCAGCCCTGCTTGTCCCCTTCTCAAATGCAAGCCCTGCTGACACATGCCCCGGCGCAGGGGATCCCTACGAAGGTGCCCACCACCGACACGGAGGGCTTGAGCATCCCCAGGGCACTGACGGTCAGGGGGTGCCCCCGGTGTCAGGGGCAGCTGAAGCTGTGGAGAGACCAGAGCACCGAACCATGCCAGTGCAGCCCCAGTCTCCCTGCGGGGAGGGTGTTCCCCTCCCAGCACTCATCCGAATGCATGTTTGAGATGGTAACATCATTTTCATCTCTTTTTTTTCCCCTCCCTTCAGACAACAGCTTTTGGGATGTCATCCGCACCACCAAGCAGCCAAAAACTACAAGGGCCCCTCCCAAGCATAACCCAGGTAAGCGTGAGCTCCCCAGCCCCCCACAGCTTCACCCCAGCACTGCTGCCAGCGCAGGCAGAGCCTTCGGGATGGCAGCGCTGCCCCTCGCCCCGGTATTTCCAGCCTCTAGTTTGTTTGTTCACATGAGACATCTAGGAAAAAAAAAATAAAATAGAAAACCACATGGCGGACAGGGTATCTCGGCATTACCCTGCACTTCCCCGGGGGTCTCGTTGGCTCCTGGACCATTTTGCCTTCCTCTGCCTGTTTTAAGGCTGTGGGCTTGCTGTCCTCCCCGGCACAGTGCGGTGCAGCACAGCACCGCACAGCACAGCACAGCACAGCACCGCACAGCACAGCAGAGCAGAGCAGAGCAGAGCAGAGCACGCACCCGGCACCGCTCTGGGCTCCACTGGCGCACCCGGCACACAGGCTCAGGGCACCCTGTCAGCCGGGTGCTTTGCTGCCTGTTCGGACAGAGTTTTGGCAATAGGTGCTCCCAGGCTTAAAAAAATAAATAATCAATTTTAGATCAGAATAAACTAAGGTGCGGGCTGGTGGGAGGGCTGAGGAGCTCAGGTTGGCTCCGTGCCACGGTTTTAGCTGCCGTTTAGCGAAGGCAATAGCTGCTCTGTCAGAGCCGGGCTGCTCAGGGTACCAGCTGGGCGGTTCACGGAGGAAAATAACACCAAGCAATCAAGTTGCAGGCTGCTCCAGCTGGCATGCCAGCGCGGCACAGCCGCCTCCTTCCCCTCCCAGGCGTCACCCCCGGCACTGCGGCTCGCTGGGCCCTGGGGAGCACCGGTTTGGCTCTGACCTTTTCTACCCGGCTTGATTTATCCAATTGCCTGGCACTTGAGCCACGGCACGAGACTGTTTCTGTGGGAAGAACACGACATTTCTCACCACAGTGGCGCAGGAGCACGAAACGGGATGGGTTTAGAAGATGCCACAATGCTGCATAGCGAAACCGGGAGATGTTTGTGTCGGGGGCTTCATCTCTTTCACTGGCACTTTTCCCTGGCAAAGCTGAGCATTTCCTTGATTAATTAATTAATTGCGGAGTTCCCCAGCCTGTGGCCAGCACTGCTAATGCCTGTGTTGTTTTCTAGCAAAGAATCCTATGGATTTTGACTTGGCTGATGCCCTTGATGATAAGAACGATGGGAAAGATGGTGGGAGGCCGGACATAAGGCCAGGTGAAGGTACGTGGACTTCCCCTCTCCATCCTACCTGCCACCAGCCGCGCTGTCCCCTGGGACCTGTGGGAGATCCTCCCCGGCCCCTCCCGGGCACAGGGTCTCACTGCCAGACACCATCCCAGCTAAGTGACGGGGTAAGGAGAAACAAAGGCGCTGCCTTGTCCGAGGCTCCTGCCTGCAGCCAGCACCACGCTGCCCTTGCCCTGCCCGCGCAGAGGAGGGGGATGTTTCCGCAGGCAGCGCAGCCCCTTCCTCCGGGGCCGTGGCGAGGGAAGGAGCCCCCGCCTCGGCAGTCCTTGGCAGAGAGGGGCTCTGCCTAACGACCTGTTGCCTGTCTGCAGGTTTCTTTCCCAGGGTCTCTTCTGACCCATTAAATTGTGGTGATTGTGTTAAGTTCCCCCTCGTCCTTGTACCTGACAGCTATTTAACCGAGGGCATGTGCTGTTGGGGTTCGCGGTCATTGCCAAGACATAAATCTAGAGCAGGCTTAAGTCCTGGCATAACATACGCTATGGGCTGGGAGATTTTTTTTCCATCTCTAAAATACTCTGGTGAATGAATCATTTGTCTGCCAGGATTGTTCCCCTGAGCACTTGAGCTAGAAAACAGACTTTGCACGGCTAGTTTATTGATGTCGGGATGGCTGTATACCCTGCTCACACGTGTAATTAATAGTCAGATATTTTATTAGATTGTATTAACTAGGTGACTTGTCTGCACTTTGATATTCTGGGCTTGTTGAGGTTTCAGACTCCTGCAGAAAAGGTTGAGGCGTTGAACTGCTGGAATGTGGCACCGCTCACAAACCAGCACACTCATTCCCCCGGCATTGCTGCACCCTGGACTGCCAGGGACCTCTCCCGGTTCTGGCATAGTCAGGGTCTTTTTTCTTTTTACACTCATTACTAAGCCCATAAATCTGTTTTTTGTGGTAAGCTGGTGAATAAGGCAGTCTCTTCCAGGCTGTTAAGGCAAAGATAACCCTTCCCAAGGCGCACAATCAGAGAAGGAGCCTTTTGCTGGCTCGGCGTTGGGTCTCTTCTCCCATCACGCGCCTTGCTGTGCCCCGAGGCTCCCTCTGGGACTGGAGCCGAGGGATTCAACAGCTCCGCTCATTCAGCTGCTGATTCCCAGACCGTGTTTCTCTGCACCTACCCTGCACAAATTAAACATTCCTACTACAACTGTGTCCGAAATAACTTTTTCACCTGTACCAAGCCGTGCCGGTGCTCAGTTCTTCCTGCTGCTCTGTCCGTCCGGGAAGGAGGAGAGTCAGCTCCCTGCCTGCAGGACCCTGGGCCAGGCTGGCACTGCCAGGGGCTCACCAGAGGCAAGACAAGGGCACGCTGGTCTCCAGCAGCACAGCCACTGCACACACAAACCGCTTCTTCCTCCCTCCTCCTCTGCCAGCTGAGACTGAGCAGCCAAAATGTTTCATGAACTCATAAATATGTCAGTCATTTTGGTTAAAAAATAATAATATAGTAGTATTTAAACTTTGATTCAGGGGTATTTCTTTCAAGCTAGACTTAAAGTCAATTATTACCTCTTTTATGAGCTTAAAATAATTTGGGGTTAAACTTTTTGTTAACATTTGGTAATTGTGAGAGAAGCAGAATTGCTTATTAACCAGTCCCTGTTCTCACTGGGGATGGAGTAGCTGGCTGACTGGGAGCCACTGGTTTAAATGGGCGTGCAAACCCCTGCTCTGGGCCCTGCTGCACAGAAAGCCCCACACGGCTCTTCAAAATAGATGGAGAGTTTTAGAGAAAATACTTGAATGAATAAAGCAACCTCTGTCTGCCCGGCAAAGAAACGTTTCCCCAGGAGCAGGGGTTTGCAGGACGCCAGTCCCACCCTGGGTGCGTGATGCTCACAGATGACCCCCGCCCAGAATCCCCCAAAAGTCCCATTTCCAGGCCCTGCCCATCCAAAGGCACTCGGTTTTTGGGATCCCTCTCATCCCCAGCAAGCGATGCACTATTTTTTCTTCCCGTTATGTTATTTTCTAGGCAGCTCTGGCTGCATTTGCCCTCCCAGGAAGGCGGCTTTGGTGTTTTGCTGGGTGAATTTGGCTTTTGCAGGTTGAGAGGGCGAGCTCCACCACTGCCACAGAGCACACGTGAAACGCGTGCCAGGTCTCCACGGGGAAGCCTGTGGCCACTACCTCCCGATGGGGCCGCGTCTCCCCTTGGGCGCCAACCACCATTTGTTCTTGTTATTTTTAAAGCCATTTCAGACGACGACCTGGCCGGCATCGTGGATGGCGGTTACAGCCCGGATAAGAAGAAAGGTAAGCGGTGACCTACGCACGTTCATTTGCTTTAGCAGTTGCGTCTCAGGCAATAACCGCCGTATTAGCCAACCTCCTAGAAACTGCCCTGTGCAGAGCAGAGCTCACCTTCTCGACAGGGGCGTGTGTGCAGGGAAAGGGGATGTCTCAGGGGAACACATAGTTTTTGGCCTCCACAGTCACACCTTGTGCCAGCGGTTGGAGCTGCTTATTTTTGTGCTTTAGCATGCGTCTCAGGCAATAACCGCCGTATTAGCCAACCTCCTAGAAACTGCCCTGTGCAGAGCAGAGCTCACCTTCTCGACAGGGGCGTGTGTGCAGGGAAAGGGGATGTCTCAGGGGAACACATAGTTTTTGGCCTCCACAGTCACACCTTGTGCCAGCGGTTGGAGCTGCTTATTTTTGGTCCCGTGGAGGCTCTGCAGCTCCAGCTGCCACCAGGGCAGATGGGACCCGCATCTCACCTACCACTTCAAAAGCAGACGCCCGCCCCTGTGCCGTGAGAGGGCACAAGCCTTCGTTTGCCTTCCACCATGCGACCACCGATGGTTGAAACAAGGAGGAAAACCAGCAACAGTGGGATAAGCCTGCGCATTTGCAAGGATCCACAGCGTTAAATATTAACAGCAGTTGAGTAAAGAGATGAACACCACAAGCCCAATCAACATTTAATGAATCCCTGTGCCGAGGACAAACCACATCAGAGGCATTAATACAATGCTGACCTGCTTCCATAAATTCAGGATGCAAGTGACTCGGTAAGGACTGCAGCTTCCAGCAGGAGCAGCTTCTCCTCCCAGCCCAGTTTCTGCAGGGAAGGTGATGTTAAAATAGACTTCAAGCCAAGTGAAGATTCCCTGACATGGAGCTTAGCCAGTCATGTCCCTGTGATGGCACAAGTATGCTGTGTGACTATCTGACAACGTTTCATTTATCCGCTCTTTACACCGAGAGCAGTGCGGGGCGGAGGTGAGGTTAACTGTTTTGCAGGCAGAGGTGTCCCCACAGAGGCTCTCCCCCAAGCTCCCCCCAAGCACGCACGGTGGGAGAGAGGAGCAGCTTCAGACCCCTCTGAGAAGCAACGACGAGCCACCCCAGGCAGCCAGGCAGAGGTGTGGGGCAGCAGAGACACTGCGCCCCACGGGGACATACGCTCACCCCCAGCCCAGGGATGCCCCTGGGGATGCGCTGCCGCCCTTCCCCTGCATGCCTGCTCCCTCCCAGGCTGCCTGGTACGGCAGTGGGGGGAGCAGAGGGGCGCGGGGCCGCTGATGGGCTTGTGTTTCTTGCAGGTGCCGGGGGTAGCACTGACAGTGACTATGGCGGAGGTAGGTACCGCTGGGGCTGCAAGGTCGGCAGTGGGATAGTGAGATAGTGGGATGGGATGGGTGGTGTGTATGACCGGGGCTGCAAGGTCGGCAGTGGGATAGTGGGATGGGATGGGTGGTGTGTATGCCCCCCTGCTGCACAGCACCCCGCTCTCTCTGGGCCCACAGGCAGAGTGGCAGAGACGGGGACGATCGCCGGTATCGCCAGCGCCCTGGCCATGGCGCTCATCGGGGCCGTCTCCAGCTACATCTCCTACCAGCAGAAGAAGTTCTGCTTCAGCATCCAGCGTAAGTCCCCCCCGACCACCTCAGGGGCACAGAGCAAGCACCCCCCTCTTTGCTCCCTGAACCCTGCTGCCATTTTCCAGCCTGGAGACAGGAGGGGGTGACCCCGAGCTGGCAGAGCAGAGCCCTTCCCTCCCCTCAGCCCCCTCACCCTGTCAGGCGTTGCACAGGCAGGGACCCACCAGCAACGACAGCCCCAGGACCCGCTGCCGTCCTGGAGGATGCACACAGCCCCTCACACGCACCCACTGACAGTCACAGCCGAAAACCAAAACGGGGACACTAAACAGGGTAAATATGGAAAAAACCACCACACCCCCAAACAAGCAAACCAACCAAAAAAACCCCAACATCTCAGCAAAAGGTAAAAACTCACCAGGCAGCAGCGAGGGAAGCACAGCGAGCATCTGCAACCACGGCTGTGTCGCGCCACCACCCCACCCTCCCACAGGCGTGCAGCAATCACTGCAATTAAGGGCAAATTAAGCAGCAAAGCTTCCTATTCCCAGAAAGTGCCTTTTGCACAAGCTGCCCCATAAAGTTGCTCGGTGTAAGCATTGCAGGAGGTGTCCCGACAGCCTCACCCCACAGCACCGGCCTGGCCATGGTGGGCTCCTGCAGCCTGTTATGGGGTGGTTGCAAACAGATGGAAAAAGCTCTGTTTAAATTAATCAAATGAAATCTCCTGCGAGACTCCTTTGCTTTGGGGGAAGGGTGTTCGGGGTTGGAAATTTGTGCTGGAATCGTGCTATTTTCCCAGTTGTGCCTGAAACAAACAGGAGCATTTTGGTAAATTAGATCAGCAGGAAAAGTCAAGTGAATGCAATGGAATGAAACACCCTTGTATATTCCTCCCACTTAAATGATATTTTGGCAAGAATAAATAATTTAAAAAAAAAAGAGTAAAGGCTTTGATGAGGGGGAAGCTGAGAGACACAAAGCCCCAGAAAGGCGGCAGGAAATTAAAGTTAATTATAAAGGAGGATTAATTTAAGCCATCAGACATGGCATGCTGGGCTAATGTCAGGCCTTAGATGCATTGCAATGCATGACAGAAATCTAAGAGCCGTCAGCCACTGCAAAAGTGGCTTTTTATTGAAAAACATAAATTGCATTTGGTGTTATCCCAGCAAAACACATGTCTTGGGGGAGGCAGCGGTGGTGTGTAATGACCACTTGCTTGAAGCGTGGAGGAACAGGCTCGGCTTTTTTCCTCGCCCAGCTGTCCTTCTGTGGTGGCAAGGCTGCGCCTCCATTTCTCGGGTTTGAGCCTTTTCTGATGAGCATTTGCTGATGCCTCTAAAGGCTGTGTACAACGCTGCCTAATATTCTTTACCCCACTTTGTTTTCTTAAACCGCGTCTCCCGCTGGCTAGCTGTGCCCTGGGCTATGGCTCAGCCTCTCGGTGTCCCTCTGCCCTGAGCCGCTTGCTGCGCCCAGGCAGGACGGGGGCTGTCAGTGCTGCTCCGGCAGCTCCTCTCCTGCCTCCATGGCTTGGCCAGCCACAGGCTGCAGTGTCTGTGCTGGCATGGGGTTTTATGGGGCTTTTTTAGCCAGTTGCAGAAACTTTCCTTCTCTCACACACCTTGGAGGCTGCGTTGCCCCATTGCTGCCTGAGGGCTCCCATCGCACTGCTTTGCCTCGGCCCCGGCACCGTTCCCTGCCTCCCTCCTTCCCTGTGAGGTACGAATTAGCCCCATCAACACCTGATGGTGAGACATAGCAGGTCCCTGCCACACTTTGCGCTACATTTAAATGCATATAAAGTTTAGATGCCTAAAAGTTGCGTGTTGCATGGCCGCAGCGTGGCTTGCCTCAGCCTTCCTTTGCAAACCAGCACGGCCCCCTCCCCTTCTCTGGTCCCTCCCTAACGGGACATGGCAGTTAGCACAGCACTCCCGTCTCTGCCTCTCTCCAAAGAGGTCCTTCAGAGGAGCTGTAGAGGACCATCACAGCCCTGCTCTAAACTGCTTCTTGCAGCTCTGCGTAACTGAACTTTTAAGGAGAACAATACCATCTATCTACGCGTAGAAGCAGCCCCGCTGCACAGCAGTCCCGTCCAGAAGACTTACCTACTCCATGCACTTCTCCTAGTTGAGTGCCTTAGCACAGGCCTTGCTGCCTCGCATGATGAAGATGAAGCAAAAGGCTCAGAAAAAAGGGCTGCTGCTCGAAGCTGTGCCTTCTAGGCAAGCCTCTGTGGTGACTTTAAAATCTAGCAACGCTTTCTCAGTACTGTTTATGGTTTGCTGATGTTTCTATACTGCTGTTAATGCAGAGGAGATTGCAAAAAGGCATCTTAGTTTTCACAGCAGATAGGCCCATTACCAGAGTTTTTAAGGCATCAAAGCAAATAATTTTTACTTTCTACCTTCCCATCTCACTGTCTTTTTTGTTACTTCTCAGAGGGACTTAACGCGGAATATGTGAAAGGAGAAAACATGGAAGCTGTCGTAAGCGAGGAACCCCAAGGTGAGAACCTTGCATTCCTTACCCTATCTGCATCTGGCCACAAAAGCAGCTTTACCGAGGGACTTCCTTAAAGTCCCTCATGCTGTACTGAGCTGCCGTGTCTCTTTGAGGAAGACACCACTTAGGTGATGCTGCAGCTTTTTGGGAAACACCCACCACAGTATTTTTCCCCCTTTATTGCACACAAAGGAAAGCCATGGCAAGAGACCAAGGAGCTCATGCTGCACATGGTGGCAGTTAATATTTTGCTTTCACGTTTTTAGCCATCGAGAGTGTCTTATACAAGAAAAGCATGATCCTTCTTTCAGTGACAGATAATCAAGGCTGCTGCAAAGACTTTTCCAATGTCACGTACAACCAACCAGTACTGGGCACCCACTGCTTGCGCTCTGGTTCCATCGTGTGCTATTGTACTCACGATTTTTTTTTTCTTTCTCCCTAGTTAAATATTCAGTACTGGAAACACAGTCAGCAGAACCACCAAAACAACACAGTGCGAAGATGTAAAGCTTGACCTGGGGCTAGAAAAGAATCACTCAGCAGCAAATGGAGATCTTACATGCTTGTAATTTAGCTTTTTATTTAATTTGATTCCAAAGCTATTTAATGTGTACTTAGGCTTGAACTGGCTTCTTATTGCTCTAGGCTTTAGGGTTAGAGTGGTAGTATGTGTTCATTTTTTGTAAAGAGATATATGCTTACATCGAGGTAATACTGTAGGTTTGATGTCCAGTTGTATGCAAACCAACAGAAGGTGCTTCAGTAGCAGTCAATTTTCAATTAAGGGACAAGGTCTTTTTCAAGGAGCAGAAGAACTTACAGGTATGAGGACAGCAAAGTGCCTGTAAGTAGCAATCCAAAGCAAACCATTCAACGCCCTTTGTAAAGCACCTCCAGCCAACTTCTGCCATCAGCTATGGGCCTGTCACTTCCAACGGCGGTGGTGAAAACTGCACATTTCCTGAGGGTAGACTGCGGTCCTTAGCATAGCTACACCTAAAAATAAAGTGCCTATGGGTAGGTCCCCAGGTGGGGCCTCGGGCTGAGGCAGGTGACTCCCTGCTCCGAAGCCAGGAGTTGAGGATGCTTCACCACCACACAGCGCTGCGCTTCTAACCGCATAAAAGGACCTGCTTTTCACACCGAGTCATAAATACAGGTAATAGCAGCGTGTGCAATGTTCACTTTTAGCAAATACCATTTGAATGCTTGACTATGCTAGAGATCAGAATGGAGCTGAAGCTGCCAAGCGATACAGTTTGTCTGTGTGACATGAGATACCTACATTGTCACTGAAACGAAAACTGTGTGTTTGGATGCTTCCAAGGACAGGTTCAGATCTCATTCACACTAGAACAAATTACAGATTTAACCCAACAGAAAATAAACAAAGTAGGTATCCCTTAAGACCTGTAACACTCACTGCCACAAGAGAAGTCAAGCTTAGCAAGATGCAGTCCCCACACCTTCTCCTCCAGTCATTAACACAACTGTTGAGAGCACTCCCTGGCACCAGAAAAAGGAGATACAGCTTCATCCTTTGTGTCACCGACTAACCTTTAAAAAGGTTAATCTCCTGAGAGATTAACTGAATCTCCTGAGAGGATGGGTCCTCCATCACCATCCTGCATGGGGTTCCTGCAGCTTTCTGGGAAGCTTCGGGCTGCGAGTGGTGCTCAGAAGGACACTGGGCTACCACCACGACAGCACCCTGATCCCACGCGGGTGCTCATGCAACCGTCTTCAATGTTGTACCAGTGCCAACACCTGACCTTCACTATGTTGCAAGAATTTGTGTTTATATTTCTAATCCCTCCCCAACCCTTTTTTATGGCTACTAAAATGTGAATACTACCACTTTCTGATACATTTATTCAAATGAATGATGACTTAAAACGCATGCTCTCAAGTGAAGGAAAATTCACATTACGTGGTATAAGAGACACTCACTATTTATATATAAACCTGAAATGTGTGCATTTTGTACTGTTTCGCAAATCCCATATTTTGTGAATGTATATTAAAAAAAAGCCTTTTCAGTTTGATGTACAAATTCACAGCTTTCAGGTAGGCATGACTTAGAGAAGGCCTTGCCAGGAGGCGAATCAGCCTAGGAGCATTGCTGCCTAACAGCTCCATTTGAAAGGAAATTGCCTAGTAACATGGTTAAGTGTTTTGCAATAGCTGCACAATTCTTTATGCTCTTTTTAACACTTGCATTTTTAAAGCCTTACACTAGCTCTAGCAGAACAGCTACAGTGTTTTATAAGGGAGACAAGTTCTAGGGATATACGGTGCCTCACGTGTATTCAGAACACTTAGGCTACACTACTGCTACGAACTACTGCTGCTTTGTTTTATGAATGTGTTTGGGTTAGAAAATAAAAATATTTATTTATTGGCTCTCAGAGAGTGGAAGCAGAGGAAGTAGAGATGGGATGCACTCTGTGTTTGCTTACTCCCAGAGGCGGCTTTTCATGGAGGAAGCGTGGTCTGCAGGATTCGGATCGTCACGTGCAGCAGCTCAGACGCCGATGCAGCCACGCAGCTGAGTTTGTGTACCTCCATTCCCAAACACCGTCGCCTGTTTTTCTTACTTAGCCAAACACATTTGAAAGCTGTAGCATGAAAAATGTTTTTAGAAAGTTCTTTAGATGAAGTGTTATGACACGGCATTGATGGTAACGAGGAGCCGTTTTCCTAGCTTAGATCAAGTGACCGTAATTCCCTTTCTCCTTTTGCTGATGACCATGTTTTCTGTAGATGCAGATCATCGGGTTTATTGCATTTCTGTCACCGTGCGCTCCCCGTTTGTCTAGTGGACAGTGCAATGGAGTGTCCAGCACTGCCTAAAGAATATAGCGCCTACCCCTCCTTTGGGAAACTCTTACACTAGAACATATGAGAAACACGTGTCTAATTCATGAATACTGCAGTTTAAAAAAAAAAAGGCAAAAAAAGCTGTTTCACTGAAAAAAAACCCCAGTTTTTAGAACTCACAAGTTGCTCCTTTCCCCAAGGCCCTTTCTATGACTTTGGTGAATACTTATGCCTTAGTGTTATTTGTAGGTATGTGGAAAACCGTAAATGCACAGTGAAAGGGAGTACTTCTTCAAAAATTTACAGTAACAGAATTCAAGATCTCTTTCTGTAGGATTTCACATAGGAAAATATTGACAAATACCATAGTAAAGAAATTAAACTTGGTCTTCTCTTCAGAACTGGACAAGAGTCAAAGTCTTAATGTGCGAAATACCTGTAAAGGCTCAAATTACTTTTTTATTGCAGTCTGTCTCCTTCTCCATCTGAACTCTCAGACCAGTCTCTGAGAAATAAGGAGTTTATACATCATCTATATTTTAGGCATTATAGCAACTGAGAGGATTCCTGTGTATTTTCCTAGTAGCGATCCAAGTTCTGAAACAACTGACCCAGCTCTGACCTCTCTACTTTCATTTAATTAGTATCTATTCTCTTTAAATCTGGATACGGAATTTTTAAAAATCCTGCACTTTGGTGCTGCATACTGGTACGAACTTTCTCATCCTTTATAAAAAAAGGCCATAAAGCACTGGAAAAATGGGATTTTTTTTTTTATGAGTCCAAAAACTGTATCTACAGCTGCCCTGAAAGTTTACATACTACGTGTGCTGCGAGTCCTTTTTCTTTTCACACCTCACTTCTTCAGCTTAACTAAAGCTATTTTTAATAAAATGATTCAGAAAAGGTTTCTCAATTACAGAGAAAACAGAATTGAAATAATTGAACTAGCGCTTTTCATGTTGTTTATTCTACCAATTACTTTCATTTTCCTTTGGTAATACTGTAGTAGTTCCTTCATTTGAGATTTGGCAATACTGCAGTAGTTTCTTCGGTTTAGATTCTTCAGTTGAGAATACTCTGACATGAATTTCAGATATTTTGGCACTATAAATTCAGTTATTTTCATGCAACCCCACTAAGGAACTCTCACAAGTGCTATACTGTCATTCTTACCTACTCATTTGTTGTGATAAAAATGGAATTAGTCCATAATACCATTTCAAATTCTGAAAAAGTAAGACGAGTTGACAGGCTAAGGCTTTAAAAATTTGCTTCTGCAACAAAGGAGGTTCAGGAACAAATGAAGTTCAGAAACAATGGCATTGTGAAATTAGAGAATCCTTTCTTTTGAATGAAGTCCTTACTTAAAAGCAAGGCATATTGTTTGCTGATGCAGAAGCGATCTGTACCAAATGAAGGTTGAATGTTACGCTGTGAAAAGATAAGATTCATTTTGCTAACGTGCATGTAAGGATCATGGGGGTAAAAATCAGAATTTGACTACCATTGGAAAACACCAAATAAAACAAGTTGACTACTAAGACATTTCAGACAATTTTTTGTGGGTTTTTTCATGTTGGAAGTAAACTGCAAATGGTGGGCTATATCCTTATTGTACATAACCTCTTCTGTAACTACACTAAAGTCTTTATTTAAAAAAAAACAAATTAGACTTTGTGAGAAAACAAGTATCATTATGAAAACTTTAATTTAATGGTAAAAATGAAGTATTTGCGCACACACACGCTCTCCTCAGGTCACCCAGCAACTCAACTCTAGGTAGTGCCCTGTGTCCCTGGCTGCACTCGGCACCGCTGGTTTTTGGTCCTTTTCGCTGCCCTAGGTTTCCTGCAGTTTTCTTTGGAATTTCACATCCAGTAGATGAATCTCCCATGCAGTGCAAACTAAGCTTTTGACCTTTGTATAATGATGCAGTGTTTAGTCTCACAGCCAAAAAGGGTGGTTTATATTTCAAACTAGCTAATTCTGACTCATACTTCTTGTAGAAATAAAATTCTTTCTTCCCAACTGCGCAAGACCTGGCAGTAAAAAGATCTCTAATATGATACCCGCTTAGTTCAGCAGATGTGATCTCTCAGCAAACAGACATTCCTTTTTGCTTTTTAACGTAAATGCTTCATGTGGGGAATACTCTAAACTGCCCATTTTACTTTGTCCTCTGCTGTGGGGCTCAATGAATGGGAGTTGTTGATCCTTTATTTCCAGCTTTTAGAGAACCAGCCATTCTTGGTGTTACTACATACAGCATATGAATTAGTACAGCTTTTCTCGGAAAATAAGAGAAAAATCAAACACTTCTTGTTTAAAGCTTTAACTCCTTGAGAGGAAGGCTGCCTGTGCAGGGAACAAAACCAGGCAGATAGGAGTGTTTACCAGCTTTAAAAGCCTTCTTCCATTTTAATGAAACAACAAAAAAATTTTATCTACAAAGGAGGAAAAAGTGTAATTCAGCTCTGAAACAGGACTAAAATGGCAACGTGTCTGATGCTGATGATTCACTTAACATTACAACCAAAAAATGTTTCAGTTGGTTACCAAGGTTTCAGCCCATTCTGGGACAACAGGAAAATTCTACAGGTCAAATTTAACTGCTTGCTGTCTTTGCATATTCTCTTTATACTCAGCAGAGTCAAAACCAAAAACTAAACCAAAAGAAGATCCAGCTTGTGAATCAGAAGTGAATAGTTCTGTCCAAGGTGCATCAGGCAGGGAACAGGGTTCTGGTCTTTCCTCAACCAGTTCAATACTGCCTTATTAAAAAAAAAAAATAATGACAGAATTAGTTGTTAAATCAATAGGAAAAAATCTGATTATCAGGAATCAGACTGAGTACAAAGACAGTCACCTCTTCAATATAAAACTATGCTTTAACTAGCATGTACGAGCTATATCATGCCTTTGAAAACTGCCATGCTAAGTATATACAAAAACATCCATTGTGCTTACACGTATTAGAGCAGGACCCCTCCCCCTGTCCTCTCCCTTCAGATCAGAGAAGACTCACCAAGCTATGCCAAAACTTGTGGAAAAACAGCCAGTCAGTTGAAATAACTGGTATTCTTCTATGCAAAACCGAATCCTCAGATTTTAGCTCTAGGAATCTAAGCTTTAAAAATCTCAGAATGCCCACGATAATCCAGTCATCACTTTTACAATAATTCTAGAGAAAATGTTGTGATTATTAGCAGCAATAAAGAGGAAAACTTCAAAAGATTTTCTTTAGCACTGCATTTTAGAGATAATGTGCTTTACTTTAATATACAGTTAAAATGTCAAGGAAATCGGAAGTGTGGAAGAGTTTAATTCAATACCAGCTCAACATATTTTGGCAATGTAAAATTCACTGCTGGCATACTGTTCAGCAGAACCATTTTTACAGGAAAACATCTTTCATCTATTTATAAAAAGCCTGAGGTTGATTAAGAGATGCAACGTTGCAAGCCTTCCTGAACTTTGTTCTTGTAGGTGAGTATCTATTATAAAAAGCATTCACTATAATAAAAAGGACACGTTGAAATACCCTGCACTGCACAGTAAACTTGTAAGACTGGATACAGCACATTAGCCTTCCCAGTTGAAGTTGCAGAAGTGCTCAGCAGCTCACCTTACTCATCAACTGTATGCTACATATATGAATGCAGAGAAACAGGAAAGTGCCATCGCATATTAAGAACAAATGCGCAGTAATAAACGGATACTCATAGTAAAAACCACAGTCAGCATATAGAATCAATTGGCTCTTAAGAACGGGGCTTAATTCCCACCAGCAGAACTTGGAGCCATACAAGCACGCGTCAAAAAGCAGAGCTGCAGCATTTTAAGTGCCCTAAGGAGAAGAACCAGATTCTCACGAAACACAGCGAGGAGAACAACCCACGGAAAATCTTCAGCATGCACCATTTCTGGGCCTTCCACGAAAGCCACTGAATAATTTTTTAAAAGGTTGGATGTTATAGTAATCAAATCTCTCTGATATGAATATTTCAGGGGGGAGATGAAAGAAAGTTGGGAATGTATATTTTATATGAAAACACAGTTAAATTATTCATTTTATAGAAAAAAATGCTAGTAGCAATTTAGAAAACAAAAAGCCAAGAGGCTTTATTTCAAGAAAACCAATTAAGATCATATTATTTAAAAACTTTGTCAAACAAAGTCATTACAAGTTAAGGTCTTCAAAAGAGTTTGGACAGGCAGGATCCATTTTCTGAATTTACAGCTTAAAACCACAGGAATATGCATATGGTTAACATCACATACACGTGTGTATAAACAGACACAGCTTTGCATTTTGTGTGTATACTTTAAAACAAAACACGCTTAACAAAATGTGGAGCTATACAGACTATACAATTTACACAGCTGGGTGTCATTCCAACCCCAAATATTACCATTTGCTAGAAAACAAACTTTTACTTTGTACAAGACTTTGACAGGAACAGGTTTACCCCTCGCTCAGGAGGCTGAAACTGAACAATAAGCTAAACAGTCAAAAGACTTTATTTCAACTTGTACAAAAGGCATTAAAAAACCTACAATACATGCTTTACCAAATATATTACATCATACAAGTCAGTGTGGTGTACTTGATAAATCCAGTTTAACTTCATCCACTTTTAATGGCATATTTAGTTGAAACGTAAAACTAACTACACTGGAAAACATTTATTTTAAAATCAATTTCCAAGTGCATTAATTACCTAACAAAAATAAATTGCTCTAGCCAAAAAAAAAATATATATATTACTGAGTGAAATAAGGAGCTCCCATTCAGAAAAATGTTCTGTGTTCTGTGTAAGCATCATGTGGCATTTAATCTGATTCTCTCAACCAGGCATGGCACCCTAGGCAGTGTGAGAGGCATTTTTCTGTCTGCTTGGCAGATGGATTCCTTTTTAGGATGGTTAAATTGTTAGCTGCTCAAAACAAAGTTTAATTTCACAATTGGTGATTTAGCTAGAGATGTCAAAACACATGTGGGAACTGCCAACAAGGAAATATATCACATCTACTGAAGCTCTTTTTGGCCTCATCATGGTAATATCAGACACAGAGTAAGGCATGTAGATCATAGCAATTACAAGTCACTCACAATCCTTTTGTGATGGGAAAAGCATTTCACCTTCCTCTCTGTATTACCTGACACAAATTTTTTCACATGGCTTTTGTTACACATCACACAGAGGTGTGCACCGGCGTGGCTGAATGGGAAGGAGATGAACCTCTGTCAGAGGAGGAAGAAATGGATCGTGTAGCAGCTTCCCGCTGCAAATCTTCAACCTTCTTCTGAAGCTCCGTCCGGATGGCAAGGAGCTCTTTAAGATTTTGATGGATTGGAACCTGCCGGGTGAAGAAAGAAAAGGCTTATTTTGACTCTCATAGCGAGTTATCTTCTCAAGCAAGGCTTCCACTGTTTCTTTCAGTAACACAAGGAATCCAACACCTATGAATTTCAGTATATCAATATTTAGGGAAAATGTTTCTTTAGTCATTTGACATGAAACATTTCAGCAAACTGTCCCTTTCTAACAACACAGTTGGCAGGAAACCTATTCAAAAGACTGTTTGCAAATGGTCTTGATGGGATACCAAAAATATTCTAATAAATGTACCCCTATTCCTTATCAATACCACTTTCAGTTGAACTTAAAATGCCTTTCCCAGGAACTATTTCCTCTGCCTGTTGGGACAGAACTTGCTATGTAAAGAGAGTAGAGTTCACAAAGCTGGCTCCGCACAGAGCATCCTGTTACTCTTCTAACCAGGCGCCTTTCCAAGAGTCTGACACCTTCCAGCTTGTCAGTGAGAGAAGTGCTGCAGCCACGTGAATTGTGCTTGTGGTGGACCTCCCAGAGTCACACTCTGATAAGCCTTTCACAGAAGTGGGTCGTACAGGTTTCTGCCTCTGCTTCTGACAGTACCCAAAAAACACCAGAGATGCACCACTCTGCCTCAGAGTTCTAGGCACTTTTCACGCTCATCTGGAACATTCAATTATACCATGGCCAAAGGAAGATGCAGGCCACACTGGTTTTTGCAGCTGGATCTGTTATCTCAGACAAGCAGAGAGAGACCTCCCCTTCTTCCAAATGCCACAGAAAGGCCAAAAAAGTTTGACTGTAAATTGCTTTTAATTTATTTTATCCTGTATAAACTCTAATTGTTTATAACTTTTGGAAAGAGCAAGATGGGAAAAGAATTTAATTGGGCTGGTGAGACAATCATGGGGAAATGCAGCAATGGGAAACCTATGGATTGCTAGATGTTGTAAGTAATTTATACCCTGGGCTTCTGGAATGCCAGGCTCCAGGGAACCACATCCACCCGTGATCACTTCCTACTGCTTGAAAGTGATTACAGGGCTGGGATACACACCTGAGCATGAAATTTTCACATGGTGGTGTGTGAAGAAGACACCAAAACCCAGAAAGGGTTTCTCTTCTTGCCATCAACCCTCAACCGAGTCACAATTTACAATTTTGTGAATTCTGGCTTTTTAAACAACGTACATCAAAAATCCATGC